CGGAGGCAAAAATCGAGGAGGGGCGCGGCGGCGCCGCTGGGTTTTGGCCGTGTTTTCCGGCCGTTTGGCCGGGATTTTGGCTCCGATTTGGCCACAGAGGAAATCAGCGTGGAAAAACGAGTCGAGGGTATGAAATTTACCTCGATCGGCGGTCGGAAATCTCCCCGGTGCGGTGGCGGGTGGCGGCGGCCGGCTTCTGGTTCGTCTACTCCGGCGAGGGCAGGCGGCTAGGGTTTTGTGGTCTGGTGTGGGGGTTCTATTTATACCCATTTGCCTTTTGATCTCAGCCGTCCATTTTGATTTAATCTGGGCCGTCCGATCGCACGCTTGATCTGGGCCGTCCGATACGCGGATCGCCAACGTGGCCCGTCCTGGATCGACGTGGTCTTGCCACGTGGCAGGTCCCGGTTGGCCGGGACAACTGACTGGGTCTGCTGATGTGGCTGCTGACGTGGCCTTTTTTTTTTTCCCTTCTTCAATTTCCCGGGCGCTACAATAAGTCTCTCCGTTTTCAAACCAATAAGTTGTATCGTGAGATTAAGACTAAATGATTACAGACTAAGCATTCAGAAAGTTGTTTTTGATTAGAGCCCTCTGCTGAACTTAGCTGCATTTATTTGCAGGTAGAGTGTTGTTGATGCTGGGGAATGTTCAGTTTGAGCTTCAAAAACTTGTAGATCAGTATGTAAGTGGTTATTGTTTATTTAATTTACTTTTTTGTTATAACTCTTGTAATGCCTTGATTTTCAGCTTGTTATTAACTTTTTTTCTTTTTAAAAATAAAATATAAGCACTCTCATGTAGTCTTGACGATTATGAATCCATCAGAGTCACTTCTTAACAAGCTGAGGACTGTTGAGGTCTGTTTCTGTGGATTTTTTTGTGCTATCTAAAGAATTTTTTCTCTATTCCTTTCTTCTCATGTGCTCCATTTTTAAGCACTCCTGCTTTTGTAGGGTCCATTTGTGTTTATAAAAATAACTTTTACAGAGAGGAGCTTCCAGTATTTCTGTTTTTTACATCTGCCATATGTTATCCTTAGGTAGAGTATGATTCAAGAATCATGCTCACTGGCATTTTGTGTTGTTTGCTGGTGCAGGATATGAGACAACAATGTGATTATAAAAGGTCCATTCTTTTCTCTAGATACCTGTCATTTCTTCAATTTCAGAAAGTAAGTTTCTGAATGCAGTGATTGATCTTCAGAAATGTATATGAATACATGATGGGTCAAGAGAAAGAAAAAAGAAAGATAAAACGTTGGAAGGGTGACCGTTACTTCCAGCAAGTGCAAACAGCTCAAAGTGAATATGATGAAGAGGCAACACTGTGTTTTTCGGTTGAAATCTCTGAAGCAAGGACAGTCTCAAAGTCTTCTTACACAAGCAGCAAGCCACCATGCAGCTCAGGACTTGTCTATCCTAAACTTTCTAATGTAAAGGCCTCTCTTTTGTGACTTTGTATTGGATGTTGATACTCATTCTGGTTCTTTGCAAATGTAGTTGAATTTCTTTCGTAAGGGATTCAAATCACTTGAGGCAGTTGAGCCACATTTTAGAATGATAACAGGACAACAACATATTGACTACCAGTTTGCTGGACTCGAAGATCACGGGGAAGACGGTGAGGACAATGTGAGAATGGCCATGACACGAAGGAAGATAGGGAACTGACTTCTGACTATGGCCTAAATAAGGAAGCGATTAATGTGGTTTGAATGTTAAGAAACTCGAATGGAGGTGAGGATTTACCAGTACTGTAGGTTTGTTTTGTAAAGGAAAAGCTGCTATTTCTTTTTGGAATAAAAAGTGTAAGAATTATATTAAGTAAACCGCACCAAGGGGTGCCACCTATTTTACAAAAAAATTATATAGCTGAAAGCATATCTAAAATGACCCAAAATCATCAATCTTGTTAAGGTCATGTCCAAAAACCATGAAACTAAAACAATCAAATCATCTGTTTCTAATTTTTCTGTTATTCCCTCTCACCGGAGGCCCTACTGTTTCTCTCTTTTCAAATAATTCAAAAAATAGATAAAGAAATAAGGTGAAAGGGTCTATTCTTCTAATAAAGCCTCTCCCAATCTATTAACTCCTTTTTTACCGATCATGCTATGGTGATCCTGTTGTACTTCTCTAGGATTTCTCTCATATGATAGTTTATTGTTGAAACTTGAAATCAAGGTCTATCTTAAAAAAATATATTTTTATAATTATCTGTTTGCGAGCATATCTACCTAGTGTATGTCCAAATGGTAATGCAAAGTATTCAAGAAAGATTTTGTGGTGTTTTCTTGAAGTAAATATTATTTTTAAGTTTGTGTCTAAATGTAATGTAAACTATTAAATCTTATTCAAGAGGAAAGAATATTTTGTTTTTTTTATTTAGAGTGTTATTTGTTGTTCATTATCTTTTCATTTTGCTTGATAATCCAGATAGATGAAGTAGGTATTCAAGAAAGAAACTATTCGTTTGTAAATATACTTGTATGTTGAAATATACTGTTGTAACTTTTGAACTTTTAGCTGTAGTGACCTTGTTATGTCATTTGTGGCATTCGTGCATGATCAGTTGTTAGAGATGAACACCTTGAAGGTAAAGTCATTAATAAAAGAAACCACTAGTAATAATGCCTCCACGAGTTATCCCTACCTTCGACAGATGGATTTTCTAATCCACATTTTGATATGTCGGGTGCATCCCATAAAAGAAAAAGAAAAAAACATGCTTGTAAACAACACAATTAATATACATACATATATACACACATGATGTGCATATTGATGTGTGAATGGATTGTTAATTTCTCCAAAAGAACCTTTTTCTCATTAGTGGGAAAATACCACACTTGTTGGACTAATTAAATACAAGGAAGTTCATTGATAGATCCATGTAAAATTAAATTCACATGCATTAGACAGTTGGGAATTTTTCAAATTTAGACTTGAAATTTATTAGAATATTAATAACAGATTTGAATAATTTTGTTATATATTTAAATTTTAAAATTTAAAAGTTTAATTTATTAAAATATTATAATTATTTCTTTTTCATTCTAAATTAATTTTGTGTTTGTTATGTATTTTTATTTGTTTAATTATCCCATTCACCCAATATGTTACAAACATTAGATTTTATCAAAAATTTGGAGGGTTTGTACTAAATTTTGATATTGCAAATAAAAATTTAATCAGTTGTTAATGTTATAAAAATTTAATAACTAATTAATGTTGTGTAACGTATAATTTAAAGAGGTGACGTGGAAGGTCAAAGATGGTGGTTTACATTTCTGGAATTTGCTTTCCCCCTCGTCAGCAAACTTTGACTTTACGTGCACAACTGTCATTCCACCTGTTCATTGCTTACGTGTCAATCTCAACCGTCCACTCCAAATTCAAGTTATATATATATATATATATATATTATATTTTTATTCCATTTTTCAAAAAGAAATACATATTTTTTCTAACTTGATATTTGATATATTAATTTATAATTTTCTTTAACTAATATTTCGTTTAAAACTTTACTAAATCACTCACACTTATCTTCCTCAAATGGGAAAGTCAATAAAACAGAAGACTCCAATACACTTAAATTTCAATTGGGTAATTGTAAAACTTGTTTAGCAAGCTTGTAAATAATCCTATTATAAAATTTGAATATCCATAATAAAAAAATAATCGTGACTAATTCAAATATTATACAACACGATTATAATTTTTAAATAATTCATAAAATGGTTATAACTAATTTAAATATTATATTATAGTTTGAATATTTAAATAATTGTAAAGTATTTTTAACAAATTACTAAATAACCTGATTATAATTTCTGAATATTCATAAGATAGAAAAAAGAAAAAGATATCATAACATAATAAATTGGTTACTATTTTAATTATATATTTTTTATATTATAAAATAATTATAATTTTTTATCATAATTAATTTATATAATTATAATATTTATGATAATTCTGTCCTGCACGAGTTATTTATTTACAAAAAGTTTTTAAACAACAAAATTTTAAATATTTTTATTGAATAAAATTAAAATTTACGGTGATGTACGAGGGGGCCACAACGGTCAACAACCCTGTGACATGACGTGTCAAATGGAAGACCGTTCGATCATTCTCCTGGGAATCCAAGAACCTGTTTCTGGTGTGAAGTTACCAAAATGCCCCCTAAAAGAGACGTGTCACCACAAAAGTTAGCACTTTTTCACTTTGACGAATGACGTTAGCAGTATCCTCTCTCTCTCTCTCTCTCGTATTTACTTAAATATTTTTTAATTTTAATTTTTATTTTTGAGTAAATTATTAAATTAATTTTTTAAAGATAAAACATTTATTACAATTTAATATAAAAAGTCCTTTAACATTTTTTCTTTGTATTAGTCGCTGAGTTTTCTTTTTATAATAAAAAAAACTAAAATAATTAAAATATATTTTGATATTTTTAAAATAATTAACTAATTAATTAAAATTAATTTTAAAATATTTAAATATAATCTAATTATATATATTTTTTTATTTAAAAATAAAAAAACAGAACTCAACAAATAAAACACTGAGATAGTAATAAAAATATCAATAATTAAATATGTAATAAATATAAAATTTTGAAGACTAATGTGATAAAATTTAATCTTTATTTTTTAATGTAATAAGTTTATTTGTCTATTATATTTATATTCATTTGGATTAAATAATAAATACAGTAATATAAATTATAAAGTATTTATAATATATATTAATTTTAAAAACTAGCTTACTTTTATATTAACATTTTATTTAAATATATAGCTATTTATTTTTTAAATAAAAATTTATATAAAAAATAATTCAAAACACGATTATCTTAAATTGGAACAAAGATTTATATAAAAATTGTAATTTAAGATTTTTGCTATATCGAATAATTTCTTTATTTTCTTAAAATCGTATCGTCTCTCTCTCTCTCTCTCTGCCTTTTTTTTTTTTTTTTCTTACTCCTACTCTCTCTTGATCTGTAACGAGTCGTTTTTTTGACCAAGAATACCAGCGCTTTTTCTCATTATCTTCATATACATATATTCAATATTGAATGTCGTTGAAATATAAATTATTTATCTTAAAGAAGGATTCAATCGAATCTCTTTAACTTCTCTCTCAGTTTTTAGATTTGGAATTCCAAAGAGTTTCTTATATTTTCCCTGAATTCGGATTCCCAGCAAACAAACAGACAACCCTCGGTTTTCTATTTCCTCTCTGTGTTTCTCGCGTCTGATTAGGGTTTAGGTTTGGTAATTTCCTTTTTCTTTTATTCTTAATTCGGGTTTTGGGAGGAGGAAAGGGGGAAATGAAATCTTCGCTTGGCAAGTTGCGAAGGTTTTCACTGAACAAGAACGAGGGCAAGGACAAAAGAGAACTTTCACCTTCGGCTCAGGCGGATGAACTGGCTCAAGCTGCTCAGGTACTTTGTTTTTTTTATTCAAGGGTTAGTTAGTTAATTAATTGATTATTTCGTCGTTGGAACTTCCTTTTGAACAATCTGAAATTTTCTGGATGGTGAGAGTTTTTTTTTTTTTTTTTTAAAGGTAAGATTTAAGTAGGGTTTTAAAGGTTTTGAAAATTGATAAAATCGTTCTCAGTTTTGCAAAATTCTTAAGAGAATAAGATGATTATAAATTGTGAAGTGGAAGTTTTTTGGAGTGCCCGAACACTTCTTGGTGATAATTGGAGGTTCTTGTTCATGGAAGTTTTGCCTTCAAGACCTCGCTATCCAGTAATTGAAATGAAACAGCGAAAATTTTTGTTTTATTTGTCATACACTCCAATGATGTGAGGAAATTTTCTTTCCTTTTCCTTTCCTGTTCTTAATGTTAGATAATTTAAAATAGGCGGTGCAACTTTGTTATTATGATATTTTTGTTCCAACACTAGGAAGAGTGAGGCCAATGGATATTCAGACATATCTTTTTGGTGCTGCCATTGTAGAGAATTTACTGTCTGATTGATGGAAATGGAAAAATATAAATTGATACCATGGAGATACTACTCTCAATGGAAGTTGAATTAGTTTATCGATGTCCAAACTAGGACTTTTATCTTCTTTTGGAAGAACTGAAATGGTTAAAATGTATATGGACGTAAAAGCTAGGACATTGGTCTTCTTTGGAAGAATTGAAATGCTTTAAATGTATGTCTATGGAAATGCATCAATGATGTTGAGATGTTAGTTTCAGGTTATCTTAGAGGGGAAGAATTAATTGTCTAGTTGCATTTTAAACTGAATGCATTAGTTTCGGATTTGGAAGTTGTAAAAGCTCACAATTTTCTTGTTGTTTCTTCTTTTAATTCCTAGTAATCTAAGTTCAGTCCACTTTGTTTTCCTCGTAATTTTGCTGACTGGAGAACTTAAAGGTTGCTGTCAGTTCAAGAAAATATTTTCCCTTATTCCTATGCTCTCAAAATAGTTCACATCTGTGTTTTCTTTCCTTCATGGAATTGGAAGACTATTTTCTGAGAGTGAAAAACTGGAAAAGGTGTTCCATGTAACCAGTTCTTTGCTGTTGGAGACCTGTGTTTTATAGACACAGGAAATTGTTCCTCTTAGCTTCTACAGAAGGAAAAAGGAAATGTATGGGCATCACAAATATCTTTTCTCTCTTGTCTTAGATTTGACCTAATGGAAAGTAGTTAATGCCTAGAAATCAGTTTCCTACATATGGCAGTGGGACACATTATTTTTATTATATATATGAATTGTATTCTTGAAGGACTTCCAAAATTGAATGCTCTTATACAGGACATGCAAGACATGAGAGATTGCTACGACAGCTTACTTTCTGCAGCTGCAGCAGCAGCAAACAGTGCTTATGGTAAGTGTTTATTTTCCTAATATTGTTATTACATGTCAACTTCTGGATTTAGTTTTATTTTCATATTTTTCCTTTTCAGTACCAAAAGCATTTTGAATACTGTTTCCTATTCCGAAAAATAGGTAATACTTGAAGTAATTACTACACAAGGGTTATATAAACGGCGTAAGATAAACATCTGTTAGATTTGTTGTATCTGTTGCTTCTTTTGTATGACTAGGTTTATGGATGGTCCCACTGATGACATTGTCTGCACTTAAGATCTGTGCCTAATGATGCTATTGATCTTCGTTAGGCAAAAGAGTTTAGAATGTGGCAGGATCATTTATGTGTTTCATTGATGTTCAGGGATGGTTTTTCTTTTTTTCTTTTTTTGAGAGAATTAGTGATAGTTACTGTTAGAGTCTGCTGATTGCATACTGCAGTTTGGTTACTAAATTCTTAATTTTTAATGTTTCAAGTTGAATATACATATGGCTAGTTGAATGAAAACATGAAAAAAGGTTATTATCTCTTTCCCCTAAAATTAATTTGGAGATCTACCGCTCAACTCCATCTGTATTTTCAGAGTTCTCAGAGTCACTGCGGGAAATGGGTTCCTGTCTGCTGGAGAAAACAGCCTTAAATGATGATGAAGAAAGTGGTAAGTCTATTAAAATTTTCATTTGTTCTTCCTCCTCAAGCAGTTGCTTTCTTTGTAGTAACTGTCAATAGTGTAGGCTTGCTAGTTGCATTGCAGGAACTTTTTTGGAAGAAAGAAGTATCATTAAGAAGCATCAACTGGATACCTAGTATGCTTAGAAAATATCAGAAGTAAAAAAATCAATCAGGTTGCAGGATCCTTCCCGTAAATGATAGAATGCTGTGTTGATAAAATACGCGGGGAATGAAGTCAAGTATTTCTAGTTTTAGCAGAAGGAGAGAAAATGCACTCAAAAACTCTTTTGTTTCTTTCTTTAGAAATGACCGAAAATATGGACATAGGAATAAGAGTATAAGTCTCCCCCTTTTTCGAACTAATCAGTTGTAACATGAGCTTATGCGTAAATGATTGTAGCCTACGGGTTCAAAAAGTTGTTTTTGGTTAGAGCAATCCGCTTAACTCAGCTGCATTTATTTGCAGGTAGAGTGTTGTTGATGCTGGGGAAAGTTCAGTTTGAGCTTCAAAAACTTGTAGATCGCTATGTAAGTGGTTATTGTTTATTTAATTTACTGTCAGTTTCCATTATAACTCTGGTAGTGCCTTGATTTTCAGCTTGTTATTAACTTTTTTTTTAATTTCAAATATAAGCGCTCTCATGTAGTCCTGACGATTACAAAGCCATCAGAGTCACTTCTTAACGAGCTGAGGACTGTTGAGGTCTGTTTATGTGGATTTTTTTGTGTTATCTAAAGAATTTTTTCTCTGTTCCTTTCTTCTTGTGTGCTCCATTTTTTTAGCACTCTTGCCTTTGTGGGGTCTATTTGTTTATATAAAAATAACTTTTACAGAGGGAAGCTTTCAGTATTTCTGTTTTTTACATGTGCCATACTTTATTTTATTTAAAAAAAATGTGTCATATGTTATCCTTTGGTAGAATATGATGCAAGAATCATGCTTACTGGCATTTCGTCTTGTTTGCTGGTGCAGGATATGAAACGACAATGCGATGAAAAAAGGTCCATTCTTTTCTCTAGATACCTGTCATTTCTTCAATTTCGGAAAGTAAGTTTCTGAATGCAGTGATTGATCTTCAGAAATGTATATGAATACATGATGGCACAACAGAAAGAAAAAAGAAAGTCAAAAGGTGGGAAGGGTGAGACTTTCACTCTGCAGCAGTTGCAAACAGCTCAAAGTGAATATTATGAAGAGGCAACACTCTGTGTTTTTCGGTTGAAATCTCTAAAGCAAGGACAGTCTCGAAGTCTTCTTACACAAGCAGCACGTCACCATGCAGCTCAGGTCTTCCTTGTCTATCCTAAAGTTTCTAATGTAGAGGCCTTTTTTTCATGCCTTTTTATTGGATGTTGATACTTGTTCCGATTGTTCTTTTAATGCAGTTGAATTTCTTTCGTAAGGGACTCAAATCACTTGAGGCAGTTGAGCCACATGTTAGAATGGTAACAGAACAGCAACATATTGACTATCAGTTTGCTGGACTTGAAGATGATGGGGAAGATGGTGAGGACGATGGGGTGAATGGCTATGATACGAATGAAGATAGGGAACTGAGTTTCGATTATAGAGTAAATAAGGAAGGGATTGATGTGGTTTCAGTGTCAAGAGACTCAATGGAGGTGAGGATTTACCATTATTGGAAGTTTGCTTTGTGAAGGAAAAGCTGCTATGGCTTAGTTTGCACTTGGCGATTCTACTGTAGCTCTCTAGGATGCTCTCTTATATGATATTTTATTATTGAAACTTGAAATAAAGAAGGTCTATCTTAAAAAAATGTATTTTATAATTGTCCGTTTGTGAGTTCGTTTCTACCTAGCTTGTGTCTAAATGGTAATGCAAAGTTTTGTGAATAAGTTTCAAGAAAGATTTCCAGTGTTTCTTTCAAGTAATTATTGTTTTTAAATTTGTCTCTACAGGTATTGTAAACCATCAAACCTCATTTATAGGAAGAATATTCTGTTTTTCATTTAGATTGTTACTTGTTCATTATCTTTTCATTTTGCTTAAAACTCCAGGTAGATGAAGCGGTCATTTCATTTCACAACACATCAACGATAGAAAATGAAGAGGTATAACACCACTTTCTTCTGGATCTCAAGTTAGAAGCTGATTGATTGTATATATGCTTGTATGTCGAAATTTACTGGTGTGACTTTTGAACTTTCAGCTTAGTGATTTTGTTACACCATTTGCCTGTTTATTAATTGACTTGAAAGGTTCTATATTTGAGGTAATTAGATGTAGTCAATATGGCTCTTCTGGTTTATATCGCAATGTTTCTGCCTGTAGGTAGACCTAGATAAAACTGAAGAACCCCAGGTCTCAATTCGAGAGCATAGAGTAGGCAGCTATTCAGCCCCATTATTTGCTGAAAGGAAGTTCCATCAAGCAGAGAAAAGTAGGCAAATGCATCCATCTCCAGTTCGGAACACTAACACATACGTGCTGCCTATGCCTGTTGATTCCAAAGGCTCAGTTTCTCTTAAAGCAGTCAGTCCAACCACACATGCAAGGCCTACAAATTGTATTGGACGAACACACAATTTGTGGCATTCTTCTCCATTAGAACAGAAGAAGTCTGAAAAAGATTCTGGTGATAATCAGTTGTCAGAAATGGCCACCTTGAAGGCAAAGTCATTAATCAAAGAAAGCACTGGTAACAATGCCTCCACCCAGTTACCCCTGCCTTCGGCCGATGGATTTTCTAATCAACATTTTGATATGTCTAATGCATCCGATAGCAAAAAAATAAAAAGACATGCTTTTTCTGGCCCATTAATGAGTAAGTCTTCATCAACAAACCCTGTTTCGCCAGCAACCGGTCCCAGTACCTCCGCTGAAATTTCCCAATTAGTTTCTGGTACACTTTCTTGTCTTCCACTTCCTCATCCTTCATCATCTCCAAAAGTATCCCCAGGTGCTTCACCTCCACTTGTTTCTTCCCCAAGAATAAGTGAACTTCATGAACTTCCAAGGCCCCCAGGTGTTGCTGCTGCCAAGCCTGCAAAATCTCCTGGTTTGCTTGGTCACTCTGCTCCGTTGGTATCAAGAAATCAAGATCATTATGCAACAAATAAAATTGCACCAGTGTCATCAAGTGTGGCATCTCCTCTTCCAGTTCCTCCATTAATTGTTCCCAGGAGTTTCTCCATACCCTCTAGTAATCAAAGAGCTATGGCGTCACATCTTTCTAAGTTTTTGGAGTCTCCTCGAGCACCAGACAAGGCTGAAGAAGTTGCTTCTCCTCCATTAACCCCTATCTCCCTTGCAAACGTCAAGCAAGTACAGAATTTTTCTTAGTGACTGCTCATTATGGTTACTAATAGGTGAGTAGGACTCCTGTCCATTGCTCTTGTTTCTAGTTGCCATTTTTATCCTCTTTTCAGCATTTCATGGTTAGTGCAGCTGCATGATTTAAACATCTCAAGCATTTTTGTTATCTTTTTAGTTCTTATGAAACTAACCTATTGACAAATAATGCATATCTGATAACATGTTATAGGATCTACTGCTTTATATTTTAAGATCCTGCAAAATGTTGGACATTGCTCTTGTGTTATTTTTTCATTGTTGAGAAAAGAGATGAAAGCTCTTTTTGGTACAAAAAACATGATTTTGAATATCATATGAGGTAGTTATAAGTATTTTCTGAAAATTATATTTACTCTTTATCATAGTCCATAATTGCACATATATGTATAATATCAACATATACATATGTACGTGCATTTATACATATGTATTTATGTGGACGTGTATATTTATTTGTCTGTCACATATATATATGTATGAATTTGAAAAAATGAAATTTGTTTAATGTTTTTGTGCAGCTCATCTTAGTATTGAATACTTTTGCTTTTTGCAAACACAACAGAATAATATAATTGCTCTTTGAGCTTTGACCAAAAAATATTGATAATCTTAATGTGGGTAAGATTACTTTCTTTACTTCATATCTCATTTGCATTCATGCATATATATTATGTGAGTCTGAATGTGTGTGTGTATAATATAATAAAAAGTAAAACATATTTTCATGCAAATGTAATCTTGGATTTACTTGAGTATGTGTAAAATGAAAACGAAAAATTGGTCTTTTATACCAAGCACAATCTTTTTATCTCCTGTTTTAATAATGATTTTTTTTTTTTTTTTGCTTTTTAACTTTCTGCACAACATGATAATATTTTCCTGTTGGAGCCATATGAGATACTTTACACCAAGATGTTGATATCCTATGGCAGAATTTTTCCTTTTTTATTTGCCATACACACCTCTTATATTCTTGTTAAATATCTGCTTAGATATTAGTTCTTTGTCAAAACAAAACCTTAAAATTTAATCTGTTGTCTGCATTTTCATCGAATGCAGGTGGGAGCGAGTCAGATATTTCACATTCTGCGAATGTTGTCTTTTTGGCCCGACAGAATATTTTAGATGTGGTTGGTTTTCTGAGTGTCGGGTAAAGATTTGGTAAATATGATAATGACGATGATGTTTTTCTTTCTTTTTTTTTTTTTGTGTATTCTTTAGTTTCTCATGTGAAATCATTGTTCATGGTTTTATTACCTGATTCTAAATTTAAGAACTACAGAGAAAAAAATTGTATCAGTGAAGAACATCATGTACATTTCAAATGAGGAATTTTGTTTATCTTTTAGCTGCCTCTAGTCTTCTCACCCCCTCAAGAAGGAGGTTTTGCCCAGAAGCCAATGTCTAAATTTGATTAACTGCCAAATGCTTCTGAAAGAAAATTTTGTAAAGTAATATCTATGATTAAAGATTTTGACTAATCAAACCTGAATGAAGATACACTAGAAAATTATATACAATTGATTGTCTTGGGAAATAAAAATTACCAATTGTATAGGTAATGTTTATTATTTTATATTTGAAATAAAAATAAATTATTAAATTAGTTTCAAAAGTTAATACTTATTCTAATTTAGTTATTAATATATATATTTTTTTATTTTAAGTGTTTGATTTCATTTTTATTTTTTAATTAAAAATTTGAATACATTTAAATATTTAAAAAAATTAAAAATAATTATAATTAATTAATAAAATTTTCAAACTAAATTAAGGAGAACATTATGTTAATCTTGACAATTTAGATTGTTAAATTAGAAATATTTATACAAATTGGCAATTTAATTTCTTATCCTATAGTTTGAAAAAAATTTAAATCAAGAAATTTTATATATTAAAAGAATATTATGTAACACTTAATTATAAACTAAAAAAATCAGTGCATAAAACTATTTCAAACTTTCTATTAAAAGAAAATCTAGAATGCGATGAGGATATGGGATAATACGCGGGATAGGCCAGACACAGGCAGAAGAAGCTCAAACCAAGGCGGGGCTGAAGCAACGCGAGAGGGAGAGAGGACGACTAGGAGGAAATCCATCCATGGAGTTAACCACCACTACCGCTACTGAACTCCTCCGTTTTCACATTCCATTGCTTCATTCTCATCTTTCCCTTTCCTCGCTTAAACCCCGATTGCTTGCTTCTACTAATAAACTCAAGGGTTCTCGATTTCGCCTCTCGTCTCGGAAATCCATTCCCACTGTTCGCTCTCTCGCCGACGAGACTCAATTTTCCGGTGAGTTAAACCAGTCTTCCTTTCAGAACCATGAACAGAGAGAATTTTTTTAATGATATTTTGGTTACTCTGCAGAAATTCGTTACTTAGAATTTGGAAGATATAATAACTTGATTGAAATGTCTTTCGTTCAAAATTTGAGTATCTTGTTGTTTCAGAAAAGAAGTTGTATGGAAATTTGAAAATTATTTTTGTTTTACAGTTCTATTATTATACTCTGTGAGCAGAGAAAATGGTAGTACGTTGTTTACACTGTAATGGCTACTGTGAGCTTGCTTTCCAACATAACATGTTGTGTTGTGGGAAAGTAAAATTGAATGGAACTGTTAAGAAAATAATATAAAATAATAGATGGAATCGTATTACTTCTCATATTAAATTTTGGATAATCTTGAGTTAGTTTAATTATTTCACTTGTATTAGAGCTAGAGCTCCCGGTTTAAACAGCGAGTCTGGTGTTTATTGTTTCCCTGAGTTATGTTCATTTTCTCAACTTAAAATTTTCCTCACGTGTAATGAGATGTTCCTGGTGATAGTTTCAGTTTTGCTTTAATGAAATCAATTCATTTAGATAGGCCTGCCAAATGGTACATTCTGTTTTTAGTGCTTTAGCAACATATTTTCTTCCTGTTCAATTATGTGCCAGTTTGCAATTAACTATGGTTGCTTAATTCTATCAAAAAAAGAAAAAAATCACGGTTGCGTGATCAGAAACTACCTTCTTTCATATTCACAGATTGCGTTACTGACGTCTGTTTGATGTGATGACATCCGTGTTTGTTCTCCAATTTCTTGTGGTTTATTTGACAGTTCTAAGATGCACTATTTATGATTGTTCAAGATTATATTTCTCAATACCACGATTGACTTGTTCCTTGTTTTGTTGCGAATTTTATTCTGAGACCCATTAAAGATTCAGGGAGAAATGTTGCTGTGGCAGATCCCTCACTTGCAGTGAAGGTGAGATCACTTTAGCTTCTGATTCAAGCTCAGAAAGTTGTTGTTTTTGAGTAGTTAAAACCAGGCTTTTTCTATTCATTCTTGGGTGCTTTTAAAGACCAAAATGATGCTATCTAATGCATTTGTAAGTTCCATAATCATCAATGATGACCATAGAATGAGAAGTGTCTTACATATTCAGCCAGGGAGTTTCTTGTTGTTTGAAGTGCTTGTTTTAACTGTTCAGTTTTCATTCAGAAGAAGGCAATGGATATAGCTCCCGACCTGAAAGGAACTTCCATATTTCTTGTGGGTAAGAAATAGGAATTGAATTATTTAAGAAATGCATTTTCAAATGCAAACTTTGTTTATCCTTAATTACTGGCATTTATTTGTTGGACATGTGAGTTAATTCCCCCTGCCCCTCTCTGGTGAAGGGATGAACAACCCCCTGAAAAGCAGTTTGGGAAAGGTTCTAGCAGATGTGTTAAGATATTACTATTTTGATTGGTAAGCATGTGCTACTGTTACCTAAAAATCAACAGAAGATTCTACAGCTCAGTATCAACTTATCAGATTTGTAATTTGGTTTCTTCTATGTCCAGTGATAGTTTGGTTGAGGAAGCTGCTGGTGGTGAATCTGATGCCAAAGCTTATCGAGAGACCGATGAGAAGGGATTTCGGGAGTCTGAGGTGACTTTTATCTTTTGTTGATTTGGGAAGCAAATGGGTAGCAATGGGATTTTGTAAATTGTTTAGATTCAGTTGCTTAAGCTTGTCTCTTGGACCTTGAATTGCTGATTAGCCTTACATTGGACCATCATAATCTTAAAAAAGAACCTTTGGCAAATCGAAAACAACAAAATGATGGGATAACTTACATTTGAATTTTCATTCTGCCATAGACTGAAGTATTGAAGCAACTATCATCAATGGGTCGGCTGGTGGTTTGTGCTGGAGATGGTGCAGTTCAGAGTTCAACTAATCTGTATGGATATTGATTATGGTGTTTCCTGAATGGATTGTTTCGCATGTATTTCATCCTTTTTTTTGTTGTTAAAAACGTACAGTGCACTTCTAAGACATGGAATCTCCATATGGATTGATGTACCCCTCGAAATAGTAGCAAGAGGATCTCATTCAGAGGTTTTTGTCATTCATCTGTATTTTAGTTCTATAAACGGCCAAATTCTTCTCCTTCACAATTTAAATCATATAAACTTTCCACCTCTCTCTTGCTTCAAGAAATGGTGGTTATCACGTAAATAACTGCAAGTTTTGCAATTTGTGAGCAGGCATTTGCTCAGCTAGCAGCTCGATATGAAAAATTAAGAGATGGATATTCAATAGCCGATGCAACTATTTCCCTCCGAAGTATTACTACCCCTATTATTTTGCTTGCTCGTTTCATGTTAGCAACCATACTTCCTGATTAGTTCTAAGAGCTTCTTGTTCATAGCAGATATTGCTTGTCAATTGGGTCACGACGACTTGGATGCTGTAACCACTGAAGATATGGCCATGGAGGTGAGGAACGAGATTTTGCCATTTGAACTTCTTAATAACCAAAGCTGAATTTATATATACACACAGACACACAGTTACAAGTGGATATTTTTCGTAACTTTTTATATCATAAATTCACAGGTCCTCGAGGCGATAGAGAAGCTTACAAGAGTGAAGAAGATGATAGAAGCGGCTGCCAGACCCTTTTAGCTGGCAAATCAAGTACATACTCTCATCATTCATTATGACTTGTATTTAAATTTATCTAATTGACAAATGCTGGCATTGTATCCAGTTTTAATAATAGGTAGACAAAAATCTGAGTTGATCAATGAGATTTTCATTAAGCTATTAATAGATGCAGTATGCTAAATGTACGGTTACCGTTATACAAAATGAATCTTTTAACTTCTAAAGGTTATTATTAAGTAACTAATATTCTGGCCCTCACCTCTGTTATGCAGAGGCAGAGAGTCTTCCCTTCACCGGATTTCTATAGTTTGTGCTTGGGATTTATGAAGCCTACACTAGTTAACCCCAAAAGAAGTAGAAGATGTTATTGAACTTTTGAGAAAATCCACATGAATCAACATTCTATGCAAGTTTGAAATGCATAAATACATACATAATTATGTATATTTACATATAATGTTTACTGGGATCTTGTGTAAAGTCTCAAGACTGTTAACCTTCATCATTTGCAGGAACAAGAAAGCTTTCCAGTAGCAAATATCAGTGCTATCTCTGTTAAACAAAATGTTGGGTAATGGTAAAAAGCATTGTGGTTATTTTTTCTATGATTCTGGAATAGGCATGTATATTGTTAACACTTTATTCACGTGAGCTTTTTGTGTCTTCCCATGTATATATACTATATATATATATATATATGATTGGTTACTTCTAAGTTTTCTGGGTATAACCTTTTCTTTTTTGAATGAAAGTTTCCCAGGATAATTAGCCAAATCTAATTGTACATTTGGAATCTACTTCTCATTTTCAGAGATCTAGTTCACATGTTCTTATATTTTATTCATTTGTGTTGGTAATATTTATTTTTTAATTTAAGGTAGTCTAAGATTCAAAAGTAGATAGGATATATATATATATAACACCTGAATTAAGGAGTAATTTTAATTTAAATATTTGAGATTTTAATTAAATTTATCTTAAAATGACAAATTATTATTGACTTTTAGTTTATATTTAATTAAATTTATATTAAATTAGGTTTTTAAGCTGTTGTACCTATATTAACTAATACTATAATAAAATGTTTTTTTAGTTTAAAAATATAATATTTTATTTAGAATTTAGTTTAGTTTGATTATTATAATTTTATTAATATATATTAACGAATTAAATTATTAATTTTATTAAACTGAATATTATAAATTAATAATTATTATTTAATATATAATTTTAAAGTAGTAAAATTTATATTTTGAATAAAATTTAAATTTATAATATTTAAATATAGCTATTATAGTTATATTATCGTATTGCTATTATGGTAATAAATTTTATTCACCGCTCAAGAAGAATTGTATATAAATTTTTGATAATAAAAACATGTACGTATATGTACAGAATTCATGTGGACCATAGTGATGGAGGAGCAAGAGCAAAGTAACACGTGCCTGGATTTTGCTGCTTTTTCCGTATCTATTCGGATTCGAAATTTGATATAGAATCAATTTTCACATTTTTTAAAAATAATTAAAAATATTAATTTAATTTAATTTTATTAAATTATTTAAAAAAATTATGATAGAGACATAATTAAAAATAATTTAAAAAAAAATAGGTAAAAATTTTAATTCCATAGATATTTTTTAAAGAAAAATTAGAAACAGAATATCAAAATACAAAAAGAGAAAATTTAGTCACGTGTAACGATCCAATCAACAGTTCTAATGAATCAGAGCACACTGTGTAGCAAAACACATTGATGTCGGTGGCATGCGGGGGGTCATATAGGTAATTCGCATGCCCAACAATCTGACGACCCAGATTGAATCCTGGGCGCATGAATTTTTCAGATGCATTTGCTTCTTAGGCGCAATCAGACGAACGAGATTAATCGCGATGAATGGTTCAGATTTGTCTATGCAATCAGCATAAACAGGCAACGATCGGACGACTCTCATCGCTTCACATCGACGCGAATGGACGGTTTAGATTGACATGGGATGAGTATATAAATATTGTATCACAGGAGAACTCTAATCCTAGCTGTCCTATCCTCACCGGAGAAGGACCAGCCGCTGGAGAAGGAGACCGACCATTGGTCGTCGTCGAACTGGAGCCACCATTGACTGCCAAAAAAGGTAAAATTTTGCCCTACCTGCTCAAAATTCAATTTTGAGTCTCTCCATAATTATATCGGAGCAAAAGGGACGACAGGTGAGCCAGAAATCGAGGGTAAATTTCGGCGGAGCTACCGCAGCCAAAATCCTAAAACTCCTCCGATGAGCCTCTTCTCATTTCCTGTTTCACAAAATTTTTCGACCATTGTATTCACCGTCCTTTTCTGTGCAAGTTAGCAGAAGAAAAAACCCTAGTCACGAAGGAAAACTGATGGAGCCGCCGCACCCAGAGACTCTCCTGCTAGTAGGTTCATTTTTTTTGTGATTTTCTGGTCAACCGAGACCTTATAACATATTTTTTTGCAGTGATACGTGTAAAACCAGCCAAAATTAGCCAGGCTGAGGCGAACCGCCGCCATGAGCAGCGGAGTCGACGGTGACGTCGTGTCGGAACCTTAAAATTGGCTGTGAAGGGTTTTCGATACCGATTTAGAATTTTTGAGATATTTTTAATTGTGTGACGAGTATTTTAGATTCTCACAAGAACATTTAGGAAGTTCAGGATCTGTTAGGAGATAGCACGGTGTTTTGAAATACTGATCTAGAAAAGGATCCCTCACCATATTCTCGGTTACCATAAATTAAATATCAATAATCGATAATTGTGTTTTGCGAAAAATTAAAAAAATCTTAAAAATATTACAAGTAGTGCACTAGTGGAGACAATACTAGTTAGTTCATATTTGTTCTGATTCCCTGATTATTTTTCTGTAATGTTTTTATTTGCTTACTATTATACTGTGCGTAACTGAATTGATGCTTTTATGGTATTCTCGATTATTTGGTTATTTTGTTCTTCCTGCATTATTTATTCAGTATTTTGGTTATTGGTTATTTGGCTATACTAAACTACATCGTTTGTTTAAGTATCATTTGAATTAATATGTAAACATAAAATGAGATGTTAGTATGCTTTAGTGGTTATTTGGATGATAAATTTTTAAATAAATAAAAGTTTACTATGCATCCTGAGAAAAAGTAGACAGACCCGGTACATAAGAAACTCTACTATGGACTTTATCTCAATCGAACGGGGCTAAGAAGTCTCATACCGAAAATTTTTTGCGAAATATGGTTCACCCTCATACTGGACGGGGTATCGAGGCGATGGTGTATTTGATGCCCATTATCGGATTATTTAAGATCAATTATGTAGCAGCCCCAGAATTTCATAATGGAATTTATATTATAAATATCAAATGCGGAAGCGAAGTCAAAATTTGAATAACATCCCTTACACTAAAACCAAAAACGTGCTCACAAAATATAAAAGATTAAACTACCTAAATGAGAAACTTGAAAGTAAAAACTACGAATGTGACTATGGAGTCTTTAGGCGTCCCCTTCGTCGTCTTCCTGCGGAACCGGCTCGGGAACGATGTCCTCTTGATCTGAAATGATTAAATAAGGGAATGAGCTACACTAGCCCAGTAAAGACATCACGATATCTCACCGTCACGGAGGTAAAGGTGGGGTAGAAAATACAAAAGACAATGGAGCATAATTTACAACAAATCCTTTATCGATAATGAAACCTTTAACATTCACTTACCACGGTGAAATTCATAAAACAATATACGAAAGCAATAACATCATTATCATCATGAAACCATATATATATAAACTGTATAACATAATACCTATCAAACTTTTCGTAATTCCATCGTTACACAACATATTTTCCTAATTCACCAACCCACTAGTATCCATGGGGATCCATAGGGGTCCCGCTACCCGTTAATCCTTAACACTTGAAATCCATTCCAGGGCCGTCCCCATACCTCGTCTGGTATGGGCGCCAAACCATAGACCTCATTACCCCGTCCGGTATGAGGGTGAAACGGGCCGTCCCCATACCCCGTCCGGTATGGGCGCCAAAACACATAAGATCTCCATACCCCGTCCGGTATGGGAGACCACAATCCCGGTAGGGTTCCCTACGGACCCGGTCCGTCCACCATCTCCCAGGATATCTAGTCAGGCTTACCACATTATACAATTACCCATTTACATAATCTTTCATTCTCTTTTCCCTCAGTCAGCATCATCAATCTACATACAAACAAGCAAAACGGTAATTTATGCCAAACAGACAACATAAAGCATTAATATCCCAGTCATTCAATCCATAATTAGTAAAACAGTAAAATATTCACACGAAACTATAAAATGAAAACATCAAACCTCATACTGCATTTAAAACTGTAAAACATGCCAAATAACAGTTAACCGACAAACACACTAGACTCGGGCTCCATTAGCGACCTTAAGCAATTTCACACATTCGTTGATTCATGAAATACCGTTTTATCATTTATTGAACTTTAAAACCATGATAGGAAATAGGGTGAGGGGTTCTTACACGTTTCGGGGTCCGAACACGGCTTCACAGTGCGCCTACAGGCTGTCCCTAATTTTCCCTGAATTTTTCTCGGGGAACTGAAACGCACTACTGGTACCTGCACGTGTTCCAAAAAATCCCAAATTAGGCCCAGGGCCCCTTTCGGCCAATATCGCAACTCCGGCACGGCGGCTCCGCCGTGCTCCGGCGACGGCGCCACCGCTTGCGGTGGCAGTTTGCCTCGGGTTGGCCGTTTTTGGCCGAATTCGGCCACACTCGCATTGGTTCCTGCGATAAAACAACCCTACGGCCCTCGGGGGGCCAAAAATTTACGGAAAACCGAAGCTTACCGGCGGCGGTGCTCTCGGGTGCGGCAGCTCTCCGGTGAAGTTCGTGTTTTGGTGATTCGGCTCCGATCAACCTGTAGAGAAAAGAATGGTGATCACGGTGATATAAAAATTGCATTAAACGGAGGCCGGGAAGGGCCTCATCGGAGGCAAAAACCGAGAAGGGCCGCGGCGGCGCCGCTGGCTTTCGGCCGTGTTTTCCGGCCGTTTGGCCGAGATTTTGGCTCTGATTTGGCCACTAGTGAAATCAGCATGGAAAAACAAGTCGGGGGTATGAAATTTACCTCGATCGGCGGTCGGAAATCCCTCCAGTGCGGCGGCGGGTGGCGGCGGCCGGCTTCTGGTTCGTCTTTTCCGGCGAGGGCAGGCGGCTAGGGTTTGGGGTCTGGTGTGGGGGTCTTATTTATACCCTTTTGCCTTTTGATCTCAGCCGTCCATTTTAATTAAATCTGGGCCGTCCGTGCGCGCGATTGATCTGGGCCGTCCGATCGCGCGCACGCGGATCGCCAACGTGGCCCGTCCCCGGTCGACGTGGTTTTGCCACGTGGCA